AGATTAGTTTCATAGTAAAAGATAAGGCCCCACTAGTCTGGCTAGTTAGTGAGCAGTTCTTTCGGGCGGGAAGCATACCGGGCCCTACGGGCGGGCATCTCCTGCAACGCAAGCACCAGCAATGTAATTCAGAACTTACCGTGCAATATAGAAAACCTTTTTTTTTTTTGCAGAAAAAGACACAGGCTTTCAAACTTTTTTTCTCTTTTAGTAAGATAAGTAAAGATAAAGACAAAAACTTTCAGTACAAGAAGTGATGAATTGAATACAAAGACTACAAATTATGTAAAACACCATAGTAACTTCATCTTTTATGGAAAAAATAAGGTTGCCCTGGATGTAAACAAAAAAGGAAGAAAGAACAGTGTAAACATAATTTAATACAGTCAAAACATTGTTATTTAATAATGTTCAGAAAATAAAACATGACATGCTTGAAGATAAAGACGCAAATCGCATAATATAACTCAGACTCTAGACTTATTGCTAGAATGTGGAGGTCTGTGCCTCCTTAAGTTTTTATAGTTATTTAGTTGAAAAGTTCGACGTTGTTTTGACGGAGAATAAGAAGATTTTATTAATTATGATGGCATGAATGTTCCAGCACTGTGCTTCTCATAAACAATTCACAACACGTTAATGCGCGAAGGCTAAAGATACACTAATCGCCAATAAAACCAAAACCAAACAATGAAATTAACAATCTAATAATCAACAAAAGTCTAAGTAGTAATCACAACTATAACGATTTGTAGACTAATTAGAGAGAATTATCCTAATTCACTACTAGAAATAGGGCCTGTGGCAACGAAAATTTATGCAACGGTAACAGAACCGTTGCCATACACTATATATAGCAACGGTTTTGACCGTTGTCAAAAGAGCTGGAGGATTTCGATACTCTTTAATAATCAACCCGTTGCCATTGTACAGGAACCGTTGCCATAGATCTTACTGTAGCAACGGTTGTTACAAACGTTGCAATATTTGTATCTATTGGCACGGTAATGGGGAAAAATTACCTATGGGGACGGTTTTGGGTTCCCTCCTTATTTTCCCTCGTCTATTTTGCCAAACCCGCCAAAATCTTTTCCTTAATATTTTTTTTAGTCGTATTTCTTATTGAAATATAAAATATCCCCTTTTTCATTCCCTAAACAACGTACGCTATCAGACTACTCTATCAGACCCTAAACCCATTTCCTCTCTCCCTAACCCAGCTAATTATATCCCAATTTCATCTCCCAATTTCGCTCTCTCTCTCTCTCTCTCTCTCTCATCCAAATTTGTAACATAAACACTGCAATGAGGGTTCTTAACCATGGGTGGAATTTAGCTTTGTAAAATTAAATACCCAATTGATTCACAAAGTAGCAGAATCGTGGGGTCTCAAAATCAGTTAGAAATCAATAGTTGAGATTTTGCAAAGTGTATTTGCAGAGACAAAAAGGTTGGCATCTCTTTCTAACATCAGCATAAGTTTCCCTATTTTAGGCTGGTTTCAGATTTTTGATTTTCTTTGTGATTTTCGTTTGCATGCACACAAATTGGTGGTCTTACTTTTTTATTTTAATTTTATATGCATTTTCTTTATGGGAGTCTTTGATTTATTCAGTAACTACAATTAGAAGCGAGTTTTCTGTTGGCATATTCTCCGGAAAAGATCGATTCCTTGAGCGTGTTCACACAATTAGTTTCTCAGTAGCTTCAATCGCGAGAAATTATTTTCCCAAAAGGCACACTGCGAGAAATCGCTAGCTGAAGAAATTGTAAGTTCTTATTTTCTTATTTAGATAAAAGTTTTGGTTTTGTTTCCTGAATTCCTTTAGCATATGTTTATTATCTTATACTTGTTTTGAAGATTATCCTCTTCGGAGACATTGAACTGCTTCCTTGTATCGCTGCTGAATTTAGTGTCCATTGCTACTCGGTTTAAATCAATATTTTGGACTGAAAACTTGTATTGCTTGCTGCTACCATTGAACTATAAAGGAGATGTCAATTTTGTGAGTTGAAGGTCTGTTTGGTAGCTGTTGATTTGTTCAGTTTTTGCACCAATTTGTATCATCTTTCTTCCCTTTTATCTGCTGAAGATCTGGCAGCATTTTGAATAGTTCCAGCACTGAATTACTGCTGCAAAAGCTGCTATTTGGCCTACATTTTTTTTTGCACCAGTTGTGCACTACTGTTTTACCGAATTGAAGTTGTTTTGGTGACTTTGCGGAGTTTTATATCCATTTTCTGCATTGTCGCGCCTTTGCTTGCCATTGTGACCCGTCCAGATGTAATTCTGAATACTTGTGTGTCCAAGAGCTTTTGAGTGACATCGCTTTATTTGAACATATGATCTGCATTCCATGCTGAAATTCTTGCTTTGTTTCCTTGCAAATCTTCCATACAGCTCTCTGAACAGTATTGCCTCGATATGTAGCCATTTTCTGCATTTGTATTACATCGAGCACAGGTGTGATTTTCTGCTGCAAAAACCTCTGCCCAGCACCTCAATTCTGTGCTAAATGTGTATATCTTTGTCCAAAATTCGAGTATGATCCATGAGTGATGATTTGGATGTTGATTGCTATCCATAGTTACTAGGTTACTTTCCTTTATCAAAATATTGAGCCATTGAACATGGTGATCATGTTCAGAATCTCCCAAAATGTGGTAATTACCTAGCATATTCCAGTAGAAGTCCAGTGTCATGTTTGTGCCTTCCACAGCTTCGCTCTCATTGGAATGAGTATTTTGTACTAATACCACCAAATGAGATTTTGGCATATGGAAGGACATTATTACAGTAGCGTCTCTTGCAAAAAAGAAAACTATGTTAGTTAAAACGATTGGTTCCCTTATGTCTTCAAGCTGCCTGCCAATAATGATCCCTCCACATATGCAGGGCTGCTTCTGTGAATTTTCATGAATTTGCCTGACTCCCTATATGAACCTTTGACATGCTTTTGGTGATCCAATAATCCACACATAAGCCTCCTCGATTGAGTCATGCAGCTGTTGTGCACAGCTGCTGCACAATTTGAGTTATATTTTTTAACAGATGTGAACCAATTTGTTGCACCAGTTTCACCAGTTTCTGCATTTCTTTGTTGTTGTTGACTGTCTTCTGTAGTCTACAACTTCTGGCCAGCTTTGAATAAAAAAGAGCATGAATCTGCAATATCGAAAGATCAATTGCAGAAACTTAACTGCAGTCTGGACCAGTTAAGCTAGAATTTTTTTTCTGATTAGCACCAGTTGCCCAGAAAAGTGCAACAAGTCCAGAAGATCAAAAGTTTAGAAGTTTTTGTTCAGTTTTTCTGTCAAATTCTTTTTTGCTAGTGAAAGTTTTCAGCCTTCTTTTTCTCTTGTAGATGTGTGTTCCATGATAGCAACATTTGAATATTTTAGAAGAGATAATATATTCCAAACTTTTGTTCAATGTGTTTGTTCAAATATGTATCACGTTTTTCCCCTTACTCTTCTGCTCTTGTGTTCGTCAATAATAGCACCATCACATATTAAGAAAAAAGAAAAGGGAAATTGAAAGGTTCTAATCAGGTGCTGGTACTTATTAAGTACATAGAAGCGCATGGCGTCGTCTGATTTAAAATTGGGATGTAGGGAGTATCTGCTTCTATTTTATTAGATCATTACTTGTATTCAGTTTATGAAAAATATTCACCTTTGTTCTAGATGTAGGTTTAAATTGTTTGATGGTAAGTCAATTTATCTATTTGTAAAAGCTAGGTATCTGTTTAATTTGTGAGAGTACTTCATACATAGATGGGTCTCAGTAAAGAAATATACCAAACTCCTACATCCTAGTTACAAAAAACACACTCTAATTGATATATCTATATGTTGCTACTTATGGAAAAAGTGAGCAGGAAATTATTTATGTAATTTAAATTGAGATCTTGTTTGTTCAGATCATTTTTTATATCTGTAAAAGTGGTTTATTGGTTAAACCCCTTGTATGCATATGCATTACAGTGAAAGGATCTTATTTGCTTGTAGAATACTTATAGTTTGTAAAGATTTAAAGGTTACATATATTGATGAGAACTAAATCTCCATCCTTGAATCCTAGATTAACAGAGTACTCGGTCATGGTTTATTTGATGACATTAGTTCTCTTTAATTTTTTTGTAACTTAGCTTAACATAAATCTTAACTTTTGTGATTTACTAATATCTTATAGGAATTACATGGATTATGGAGATAAAAGTTGGATGAATCTCCTAAGATGGACGGATGAGTATATTCGTGGAGTAAATAATTTTCTTGATAAGGCATTTGAACGAGCTTCCCAGGGAAATGAAATATTATGTCCTTGCAAAAAGTGCATGAATCGCAATTGGCATTATAGAAATATGGTGGAGGATCACTTGGTAGTAAATGGGTTTGTTTCTGGTTATACCAAATGGGTTTTCCATGGGGAAGGATTTTCCTCGGCAAATCCACCTAATCCATGCAATGATGATGATGATTTTGACATGCGTGACGATATTGATGGACTACTTCATCATACATTTAGAAATATAGAGGGTGAGTCAAGGCATGAAGAAGGAGTGAAAAAGGGACTATCTGAAGATGCAAAGAGATTTTTTAGATTGGTTGATGAGGGAAAACAAGAGTTATATCCTGGGTGTGAAAGTTTTACTAAACTAAGTTTCACCATTCGGCTATACTTGCTTAAATCCTTGCATGGGTGGAGTAATGTAGCATTTTCAGACATGTTGGACTTGATAAAAGAGGCATTTCCCTTTGCTCAACTACTAGAGTCGTTTAACAAGGCTAGAAACATGATAAGAGATTTGGGCCTTCATTATGAAAAAATACATGGATGCCCTAATGATTGCTTGCTATTTTGGAATGACAATGCGAAGGCTGATACTTGTTCTGTTTGTGGGACTTCAAGATGGAAGAGTACTAATGCAAGTTCTAATATCCCTGCAAAGGTTTTAAGGTACTTTCCCTTAAAGCCTAGGCTTTAAAGGATGTTCATGTGTCCTGAAACAGCTATTGCAATGAAATGGCATGCTAATGAACGACCCAATGATGGGAATTTAAGGCATCCGGCTGATGGAGAAGCTTGGAAGGACTTTGATTCCTTGCATCCGGACTTCGCTAGAGAATCGCGTAATGTTAGGCTGGGTCTTTCAAGCGATGGTTTTAATCCATTTAGAACCATGAGCATTTCTCATAGCACATGGCCTGTTGTGTTGATGAACTATAATTTATCGCCGTGGATTTGCATGATGCCGGAATATATTATGTTGTCAATGATCATTCCAGGTCCATCATCTCCAGGAAATGATATTGATGTGTACCTACAACCACTAATTGCAGAACTGAAGGAATTATGGGAAGTCGGGATAGAAACATATGATGCTGATACAAACCAAACATTTCAAATGCGTGCAGCTTTATTGTGGACAATTAGTGATTTTCCAGCATTAGCAATGCTTTCAGGATGGAGCACAAAGAGTAGATTGGCATGCCCCGTTTGTAATTATGACACATGCTCTCAATATCTCAAACATAGTCATAAGATGTGTTACTTGGGCCATCGAAGATTTTTGCCTCCTGATCATCCATTCCGAAAAGATAAGAGGTCATTTGATGGTAAGGAGGAACATAGACCTGCACCTACTTCTTTATCGGGTGTAAAAGTATTTGAAGAATTGCTTGAATTCAATAATGTTTTTGGAAAGGGAAAAAAGAAAAGGCTTCGTAACAACAAGAGTCCGTGGAAAAAGAGATCTATTTTTTTTGAATTGCCATATTGGGTGCATAACAAATTGAGGCACAATCTTGATGTGATGCATATTGAGAAAAACATATGTGATAGTTTGATTGGGACTTTCTTAGAAATAGATGGAAAGTCAAAGGATCATGTAAATTCTCGCTATGACTTGCAAGAAATAGGGATACGAAAGGAGCTACAACCAAGAGAAGATGATAATGGAACACTAAGTTTGGCTCAAGCTTGTTTCTCCATGAGTCCAGAAGAGAAAAGCTTGTTTTGCACCGTTATAAAAAATGCCAAATTGCCAAAAGGGTGTGCTTCGAATATATCAGACCGTGTGCATGTGAAGGAGATGAAAATATCAGGGTACAAAAGTCATGATGCTCATTTTATAATGCATTACTTACTCCAGGTTGCAGTTAGAAAATCATTGCCTAAGAATGTTTCGTTGACCTTGATTTGGTTGGGCGATTTCTTTAGAGCTATATGTAGTAAGGTTGTAATGAGAAGGGATCTTGAAAAAATGCAATCTGAAATTGCTGAAATAACTTGTGAACTTGAAAGGATTTTTCTTCCAACATTTTTTGATATAATGCCACATTTGCCTATTCATCTAGTGAATGAAATTAAGCTTGGGGGTCCGACACATCTTCGTTGGATGTATTCTATTGAGAGGAACCTATGTAAGTTGAAGGCATTTGTTCGTAATCGATCTTGTCCAGAAGCGTCAATAGCAGAGGGTTTTTTAGCCGAAGAGTGCTTGACTTTTTGTTCGAGATACCTACATGATGGCGTAAAAACTAGATTCAGTAGGTACCAAACTGAGGATGATGAATGCCCTCAAGATTTATCACCTATATTCCCTAAGATTGGCCATCCAATTGGAGGTAAGAAGAAAAAAAAAAGGCAAGACTTTTCTCATGGATTCATAGTTATCTTATGAAGCACATCGATATGCTCTGTTCAATACTGGAGATGAACTAGTGAAAAATTTTATCAAGTAAGATAAATTATATAATATTTATTTATATTTTAAACTTTATTTATTTTCTTATGATAAGATACTTTAAACTCCATTTATGAAGGCCTAATAATTGAATTTAAAATATTCATTATTGCAGGGAAAATAAAATTTTAATGGGTAATCATACTAGATCAAATGCATGGGTAAGAGCAAGGAATCATAGTCGGGAATTCAGCAATTGGTTCAAAGAAAAAGTTAAAAATATTGAAGTGCCCCATTATTTACGGTGGCTAGCTAAAGGGCCTAATGTTGTTGCCAAAAGATATACTGCATACTTCATTAATGTCTACCGATTTCATACCATAGGACGAGATTCTTCAGGAAAGACTCAAAATAGTGGAGTGACTTTATTGGCAACAACTGATAGTTTTGCTAGTGCTAGGGACCAAAATCCTATCGATGGAGAGGTTATCTATTATGGAGCTATTCAGGATATCATTGAAATTGATTGTTGGGGTTGTTTTAGTGTTGTACTATTTAGGTGTGATTGGTATCATAATGAAATAGATGACTATGGGTTAACTCGGGTGTACTTCAATAAATTATGCAGTACAGATGATTCTTTTGTGTTGGCATCTCAAGTTTATCAAGTTTTTTATGTGGCAGATCCAATTGATGAAGATGTTTATTATGCAAGGAAAAAGGTCCCTATTGATTTGTATGATCTAGAGGAAGGGAATTGTCCCAACATAGAAGACACATTTTGGAGGGAACCTAACGATGACATTGGTTCCTCAAGTGGATTACTTGATGTTGATGTTAGATGGTCAAGAGAAGATGTACCTGTTGATATCGTAGATATTCCATCATATGCACAATGTTCACAAGATACAAATATAGAAACATCAGAAGAAGAGGAAGATGAAAATGCATTTGATGATACCGATTGGGATTGGATGAAGCCGGATGACTACAAAAAAGATATTCTGAACTTTTAAATATATTACTTATTGTTGTTTTAATATTTTTTGAGTGAGTGATAAATTCCCTCTACAATATATTTTATGATTATTCTTGTTTATACTTTATGCAATTAATTTTTATTTGTTTTTGTAGAATTTAATTCTGAATTGTGATCCATTTTACAGGATTTTCAAAAACCAATTTGAAGAAAGCTAGTGTATCATTGAGGAGAGTTGCGACTTCACTGTTAACAGATTTGGAACTATTAAAAGGTACGCATTGTTATTATCTTCATTTGTTAAGTCAAAAACTCAGAAAAGAAAAAGATAAAAGTTTTGGTTTTGTTTCCTGAATTCCTTTGGCATATGTTTATTATCTTATACTTGTTTTGAAGATTATCCTCTTCGGAGATATTGAACTGCTTCCTTGTATCGCTGCTGAACTTAGTGTCCATTTCTACTTGGTTTAAATCAATATTTTGGACCGAAAACTTATATTGCTTGCTGCTACCATTGAACTATAAAGGAGATGTCAATTTTGTGAGTTGAAGATCTGTTTGGTAGCTGTTGATTTGTTCAGTTTTTGCACCAATTTGTATCATCTTTCTTCCCTTTTATCTGCTGGAGATCTGGCAGCATTTTGAATAGTTCCAGCACTGAATTACTGCTGCAAAAGTTGCTATTTGGCCTGCATTTTTGTTTGCACCAGTTGTGCACTACTGTTTTACTGAATTGAAGTTGTTTTGGTGACTTTGCGGAGTTTTATATCCATTTTCTGCATTGTCGCGCCTTTGCTTGCCATTGTGACCCGTCCAGATGTAATTCTGAATACTTGTGTGTCCAAGAGCTTTTGAGTGACATCGCTTTATTTGAACATATGATCTGCATTCCATGCTGAAATTCTTGCTTTGTTTCCTTGCAAATCTTCCATACAGCTCTCTGAACAGTATTGCCTCGATATGTAGCCATTTTCTGCATTTGTATTACATCGGGCACAGGTGTATTTTGTGCTGCAAAAACCTCTGCCTAGCAGCTTAATTCTGTGCTAAATGTGTATATCTTTGTCCAAAATTCGAGTATGATCCATGAGTGATGATTTGGATGTTGAGTTTGCCTACCCTCCATGAGGCTTTACTTAGGTTACTTTCCTTTATCAAAATATTGAGCCATTGAACATGGTGATCATGTTCAGAATCTCCCAAAATGTGGTAATTACCTAGCATATTCCAGTAGAAGTCCAGTGTTATGTTTGTGCCTTCCACAGCTTCGCTCTCATTGGAATGAGCACTTTGTACTAATACCACCAAATGAGATTTTGGCATATGGAAGGGCATGATTACAATAGCGTCTCCTGCAAAAAAGAAAACTATGTTAGTTAAAACGATTGGTTCCCTTATGTCTTCAAGCTGCCTGCAAAAAATGATCCCTTCACATATGCAGGGCTGCTTGGTGTTGCCTCTTTCATCTGCTTCTGTGAATTTCCATGAATTTGCCTGACTCCCTGTATGAATCTTTGACATGCTTTTGGTGATCCAATAACCAGCATTCCCACACATAAGCCTCCTCGATTGAGTCATGCAGCTGCTGCACAGTTTGAGTTATATTTTTTAACAGATGTGAACCAATTTGTTGCACCAGTTTCACCAGTTTCTACATTTCTTTGTTGTTGTTGACTGTCTTCTGTAGTCTACAACTTCTGGCCATCTTTGAGATAAAAAAGAGCATGAATCTGCAATATCAAAAGAGCAATTGCAGAAACTTAACTGCAGTCTTGACCAGTTAAGCTAGAATTTTTTTTCTGATTAGCACCAGTTGCTTAGAAAAGTGCAACCAGTCCAGAAGATCAAAAGTTTAGAAGTTTTTGTCCAGTTTTTCTGTCAAATTCTTTTGTCCAGTTTTCCTTTTCGTTTGATCAAAAGTTTAGAAGTTTTTAATCTTCCTTCTTGTTTGATAATTTTGAACTAGTGTAAACTTGATATTAGTTCATATTAAGTTTTAACCTAGTTCTTTGTGTGCTTAATTTTATTTCTTGCAATTTGATTCGTGCTTTTTTCTGGCTAGTTTTTTTTTTTTTTTTATACTTCTGCTAATCTTTTTTTTTCTTAACTTGACAGTTTTGAAATGACTATGAATCAAGAAGTGACTACAAGGAAAAACAAAAAAGAAACAAACTCACAGTATCTTCCAGCTGGATCACTTTCATCGTTGGCAAAAGAAAAGTTTTCTGTTGTTGACAATCAAAAGAGCTGTTCCACCTAATTTTTCAAATAGACAACCAAAGCATCCAAGGTTAGGATCTCAAGTGCAAAAACCAGTGCGTCAATTGCCACTTACCTCTCATGTACCACAAAAAGTACAATAACAACTACCATTGGATTCTAGCTCTCCTGTAGCAATAAAAGGGCAAGAACAAGTGCATCGAGCGACACTACACTCTACAGCTTCTGCTGCACAAGCAGTACTGGAACAAGTGCAGCAAGTGTCGCAACATTCTACAGCTTCTGCTGCACAAGCAGTACTTGAACAAGTGCAGCAAGTGTCGCAACATTCTACATCTTCTGCAGCACAAGTAGTATTGGAACAAGTGCAGCAAGTATCGAAACATTCTACATCTTCTGCAGCACAAGTAGTATTGGAACAAGTGCAGCAAGTATCGCAACATTCTACATCTTCTGCAACACAAGTAGTACTGGAACAAATGCCGCAAACGTCGCAATATTCTGCCACTCATGAAGTAATTGAACAATCAGAAAAACGAGGCAAGAATATATAGATTTCAATCATAAATTCAATTAGCATTAGTGATTTGGTAATTATCTCTTGTTCGTAACTATTGCAGGCTCTTCCACTGTAAAACGAAAAAGAGGAAGGACACAAATGCCACATGTACATGGACGGAGTGAGCGCAAGTTGGTTGTTCTAAGTGATTTGAACCAACCCATTGGTCCTACTGAAGAAATTGTAAAAGAGTTGGGAAGTTTCCTCGGTACATTGGCAAGAAATTCAACCTTTTGTCCTCTGAATATACATAACTGGAAGAAACTGAATACAAAAGAGGATATGTGGACATATATCAAGGTTTGAAGTTTTCATTATTTCAGTTGTTAGTTGATAATATTTCATATTTTTGCTCTAACTCAAGTACACCAAACTGTAGACAAAATATGACATTCATGATGATGGAAGAGAGTGGGTTTTTCAGTCAATTCAAAATGCTTGGAGAAGGTATAAGTGTTGGTTGAAGAAAAAATACTATGACCCCTATGCCAATGACGAACTTCGAATGGAAAAAAAGCCTTCATATGTTTCAGAATCTGAGTTTAAGTACCTTCTTGAATACTGGAAGTCTGATAAGTAAACTTGATTTTGGACAAAGATAATGAGTAATTCTTTTGAAGTTCATTCCTCGTCTTGTCTTCGTGTCCAACACTTTTTAGATTATCAAAATGCATAAGGCAGAAATGTATTAGATGTTTAACATAAAAGCTTACTTGTTACAGCAAACTTTGAAAACTAATACTGAGAATCGAAAAAAGTTAAAGAATCCACACACTGCTGGCAAAACAAGTTTTGCCACAATCCGCGAGGTTCGGTATTTTCTCTTATTTTTCATTAATATGAACTTTTTAACCTTACTTGGTAAAATTTTTATGCTGACTTTCATGTAACTAGAAAAAAAAGAAGGAATCTTCTGAGGAACCATCAAGTAAGGACATGTTTGTGGCTACGAGATCAAGAAAACCCGGTCGAGTATACAAGCAATCGTATGAAGATACAATGCGCAAAATTGTACAAAGATTTCTACTTTAAAGCTTGTCGAGATTATCTTTTTGGTCCTAATTGTTAACTCAGTTTTATTTACTTATATTTTCTTCTCTTAAATTTCATTTGTAGGCTGAAATGGAGCAAATACAAACTCAAGAAAGTGAAGATAATAACCAATCAATTGACGCATTTGCAACAGTCATAGGACCTGAACATCCAGGTCGCGTGAGATTGTATGGTCGTGGGGTTAAAAAGGCTATCCTGAAACAAAAATCTGAAAATTCAGGACCCTCTTCAAAGACTACTGATGAGATAATGGAGCAAAAAATGAAGGAAATGGTAGAGAGAATGCAACAAAGAATGCAGAAAAAGTTCGAGGAACAACAGGAAACTTGGCGGCAACAAATTACACTTAATGTTGTTGCACAACTTCAGCATATTAACCCAGATTTACGAATTGATCCTAATATGCTAGCATTCGGTGGTCGTTCACTCGAAGAAGCTTCCTCTGCACAACAAGCTACAATTCAACTAATCAATCGTCCATCTACTGGCAGTACTAATCAAGGTGTGTACTTAATTATTGCAAAATATTGCATCTCTTCTTCTCTTTCTTCTTCTTCTTCTTCTTCTTCTTCTTCTTCTTCTTCTTCTTCTTCTTCTTCTTCTTCTTCTTCTTCTTCTTATTATTATTATTATTATTATTATTATTATTATTATTATTATTCTTTGACAAATTGTGGATGTCGTTCTCTTTCTTCATCATCTTCTTCTTCTTCTTTCACAGTTGACACATTGTTGCTGTCGTTCTCTTTTATTTCTGGAATTGAATATTAATATTAATTGGACACATCAAGAAATGAAGCTTAAATCTCAAAAACTATTAGAAAACAATGAAAACAACCTTAACAGAACTTCCTTAGATGAACTTCTGTTTGTTATTTTTGAAGCCAAAAGAGAGAAGAAATGGAAAAAAATATTAAGCTTAATGGAGTGATTAGCTTTTGACCACCGCTTGTCCTATGGGAAGATGATAAAAATATATCTCTTTAATCTTAATTGTTGGTATCTTTCTTTTTATTTTATTTCTGGAATTTATAGCGTGTTCATGTTTCAGTATCTATTTGGCAATAAGATTTTAATTTTCTGATATTTGATTAGTTATCTAGGGTGCTTCTTGTTGATTTCAGACATTGTTCTGTTCAAGTTGTCATATTATGCACTTCAGCTTTATTGGACATCATGCAATATGTTCTTTTCTTTATTCATTT